GACCTCTTTTCCTCTTTTTTTTTTGCACGCGAGTTTCTTCGTTATTTTTTGTTTTTGTTTTTTTTCGCCTTTGATCATGATCTATCAATATGAAGATCATACCATCGAGCCTTTTGACTACTAACCATGACCAACACTAACACCTTATCGGCTTGGCGAGACATCGATCCACCGTCTGCTCTACTCGGCAACACTGTTACGAGAGATTAATTACCCCGGAAACGATGGAACCAGAACCGAACCTCCCTCAGCAGCAAATCAACAAATCATCAAGTCATCAAATCGTCAAATCACCTGGATATTGGCTGGCTATCGCCGGCAAGTTCTGACTGCAACTCCCCGCATCGCAACCAGACACTCCGGGGTAAAACCGCGTGAGACATGTCCGAAACTCAAAGGACAAGAGATAGCCGAAGCTTCCAGGACTATCAGCGCGGGGAAAAGCCCCAACGTTACATGCGGGAGGAGATGGTCCGGGGTCCAAATATGATTACACATGTTAACAAACTAATGAGCAGAGCACAGCATACCAGTACGGAATATCCGACCGAGTTCAACCCGAAAACGGTGTACGAGTAATCCAAGTTGCGGAATGCTGTCCCGCCACACATTTGCCGAAGGCGTCACGGGCCACCCAAATTTCCAATCGCTTTTCCCACCGGTCTATGGTCTAATGTTGTACGAGTCCTCGGTCAAAGGCTTACATCCCGAACATCTCCCGAATCTTGTCAAGTGCGCGGAGAATGGGTAAAACTCCGGATGGGAAAAGAAATTCACCAAAACAAAAAGGAAAAAAAGAAAAAAAAGAATCCCACAAATGTTTCGCCACGAGGGCAAAAAGCGCAAGGGACTGCCGGAAACATACGACCCGAAAGGGAAAATTTTCAACTTCACCGGCAATCTCCGACTCGCCATGTCGACATGATTCGTCGATAGCAGTGGAGAGTCGGACTGGCCCTTCCAGAATCCCCAGATGCCAAACCGGACAGCGTTAGAATCTCTCCATCGGCCCCTCCATCTGGACATGCTGATTGATCAATTATCTGCGTTCGCCCCCTCTCCGGTGTGCTTCGGCCCTATTGCTTGTCGCTGCTTGACTTTCGTTCGCTTCCGTCTGTGCCGTTCTGGGGTTACATCCGTGGACCAACAATCTGGCTGCAGCCATTCGCCGTTGGTCGATAACCGCTGCCGATCGCATCCACGGTAGACCTGCGAACAATGGGCCCGGTGGGAGATCTTGCTCCCACTGGTCGAGGGCAGCCTGCAGCTTGGAGGCCTCTATACAGTAATCGCTGAAATGAATGAGACATTGGCTCAATCGTCGGAGAATAACACTGGTCTTGTTGAATATATCAAGTGTCTTTGCCATGTGTGCCCACATGTTGCATGATAACGAGCTGTTTTCTTGTTGTTTTTCTGGGTCGAGGCTGTGGAATATCACATCATCAACTGCCGGGAGAATGACATCCGGGCTATGTATAAAGGACACAGGTTCAATTGACATGTCAGTCGTTGTCCAATGGCTTGCTATAAGAACAGAGAGCCAGGTTCGTCGATACTCTTCTTGCCGCATCGGGCTGACATCTTCGGGGATATCTGGGAAGGAAAGCGCTTCGGCATGCAATCGGGCGAGTCCACTATATATGTGTTTTGCCTTAGTGTCACCCTCCCCTCCATAGTAGTAACCTATCAAAATCAAACCTTGCACCGATTCCAGGCTTGGGGTGATGAGAGATTGCTGGGTGAGATGCTCGGCTTCGGAGATGTACATCTTGCCCCGCTTTCCACGAGCGACACCTTGGAGATGAGAGCTGTCGGAGAACCTGGCAGCAAGAGCACACATCGCATATACCTGTAGCATGGATGCTCTGCCATTTTGAAGGCGACGCCTGAAACTTGCTTCATGGATCATCGTATGGGCAACGTTGTGAATATAACGAAAGTACAAAGGGACCAGGTCGTGATATATGTCCCTGTTGGTTCGAAAATCGGTTTGTTTAGGGCCACTCGACGGTCCTGTTGCTTCAATGGGCTCATTGGGACACGGAGTTGAGAGTGACTTGCACAACTGACAGCCACGGCCGTTCCCCGCTGGGACGCATCGTCTTTTACGAACTCTGGTGAGGCGTAAGTTTTGAAAGAGATGAGATTGTGCTCTTTTGAACTTACCGGCAGTTGACGCAGGCAGCTGCCCTGGCCCTCTTTGGAGGGTCGGGCATATCAGATGAGGGATGCTGCATCAGCTCCCAGGTTTACGCCGGGCAATTCTGAGCGTTCGCCAATACAAGGTACAGGTATTGCGTCCACGGGCGCATGTATTGCAACTTCATTCTCAGCTTTTCATATTTCTCCCAATAACTTTGGAAATAAAGCCCAGATGTCCCTCAGTGACTGGGGGGTTTTTCAAGAGTTGAAGATGGAGAAATTGGGTGGAGGCCGCTAATCGGAGAATGCGGAGCAGCCGCTTGAAGAAGCACTGTACGCAACCACTTGAGCACAAGCTACAATCCTTTCGTTTTACATTTTACATTCCTTGGTACTTTCCAACTTTAGGAGATTCATAGATTTTCAAGATTTCAGCTACGAGTATTGGACTGGAATCACGCGTTGCCTGTTGTTTTTCACCAAGTACCGAGGTAGACACCAATATATATCTATAGATGTCATTGCGGTTCGTATAGCAGGGAGTAAAGAAAAGAAAGAAAGACAGAAATGCCCCGATGTCTTCGAATCAATACCAAATGGCTTCAGCAAACCCTCTCAAGTTCTCCATATCCAAAAATACTAGGGGTAGCTAGAGTCCTTCCAAGGTTAACGAGTAGACATCGGGAGGTGAGAACAAACCACCTGATATGCCACCAACGGCTGGCTCTGACCCATGGATGTATTACAACTTTAGAAGCCCTTCGGGGCTGTATATTTTAAGGTTGGAGGAGCATTCAAAATCTTGGAATCTTGGGAGCACCTGAGGGGAGTTTCAAGGTTTCCCAATTGAGCAGAGCCCCCCTGGCATACTTAAGTATTGATCGACCCAGGCTGATACCAAACAAAGTTATTTAAGTAGGTACTAGGTACGCAGTCCACCCCAGGTAGAAAGTTAGAGGTCCTCCAGGGCTGCTCGCTACACATGTCCATGGCTCTGGGGGCTCAAATCCGAAGCCGTGTCCAGATATCAAATAGCCCATCTCGTGGAATCTTCAACCGTGGAGGCCCATGGCTGGCACCTTGGATCATCCGGGCCCCAATGACCTCCGGACTGTTCACGGTTGATCTCAGCTCACTATACTCATACACCTATCTAAGGTCAAATGCATCCAAGAGCGGGTCATATTTGAATAAAATAATAAGGGAAAGACCCTGATATAGCCCGAGGCAGGACCTTGAACCCCACGGCATAAGCTAAAAGTGTTTAGTAGAGTAAGATACAAGTCGCAAGCAATCAGGCCGTCCCTGCAAAACTATGTGGATGGAGGGCATCAAAAAAAGCACTGATCAACCCCGTTCCCACTGCACCTCGAGTCGAGCTCACTCCCCCTCGATTCGTTTCGGTCCGTAATCGTGAAATCTGCATCCCGTATTTTTTTTTGTCGTTTTCGATCTGCATATCACCTAGTACCATCTCTCAAACGGTGTACTTGGCCTTGGCACGGGTGCTACCGCTGTGTGCACTGTCGGTGTGGCCTGAGAATTCCACCACATCGGCCAAGTTCAAACGCAGGACATCCTTGAATCTCTGGCCAATCGCCTCGAGAATCTCCTTGCCCTGTGCGGGTGTACGAGTGGTCTTGTCACCCTGGATGCTCTTGCCCACGGTACGTGTCCATAGACCAACTCGGTAGAAGCCCTTGCGCACATTCACAACCACTCCCATGACTTCGTTGTCGGCGTCGCCTTCGAGGGTCTCACCGATGGCAGCCAGTTGCGCGTGCAGCCACAACTCATCGATTGGCACAGAGCGCTTGTCCTTGAATTGGTATGACCACTTGCCACCGTGCTTGTTCTGTGGGTCTTCCCACTCAGGCCGTACGCCCTTCTTGAAAAGGTGGTAGTCGGCCTTGAGTCCGAGCTCGGAGGTAGGTGTGATGTTGTTCTGTAAGCGATTGCTGTCAGTGCGATGTTCCCAGCTCACTTGGACCGTGACGTACATAAATTCCCCAGAACTCCTCAACGGAGCTGAAAGTAACGACCTCCTTAAGCAGGTCATTCCAGTTGTCGCCCTTTAGCTCAGTCAGCGATGCGCTCCATGGAGATGCATTCGATGGCGCATACCTTGCCGCTGGGAGGCTTGGTGAACCAGAGGGTCCACTCGTGCATGAGAGGGTGCTTCACGTTGAAGTCCTCGGGGTTGTGGAAGACAGTGACGGCATCACCAGCCTTGCTCTCGGTGGAGACCGTTTCATCGGCCACGACCGGGGCAACGTTCTCAGTAACAGTAGCCATGTTGAAAGTTGTGTGGAGGGGAAGTCGGGAAGACGGAGGGGTGTGGGATTTTATCGAAAGCGGAAATTCGCACAAAGGAAAGAGCGACCAGGAGCCCAGAAATCAAGTCAGCAGATATAGTCTGCTCCAGGCAGTGTGAAGTGACAGTGGAGGTGAGATGGGTGCAGCGTGGAAGTTTTGAAGTTCGAGCCACAAAAAACTGCCTTGCCTAATTGGGTTCTTCCGTAAGATCTATCTCCGACTTCACCTCACTCTTTGAATGTAATTGCTGTCACTTTGATCTCAATCCTATATTTCTTACGAGGCATGGTTTGCTGTCAAAGTGAGACTGTTTGCTTTCAACTCCTTGTATCCATTGGTCTTTAATCAAATTCTATGGTGAACAAGTGCCCGGGCAAAAAAAAAAAAAAAAATCAAACCGATGCCCAATGATCAAACCGAAATTCACCCAGACTCTTTATATGACACGCCATTGTGAAAAAGTCCAAACTCATGCTTAATAAAAACAAGAAGGGTATCTAAAACTATGCCTTCAATGACTTTTGGATTTTGTTCACTTTTCATTCCTCACCGCTGTTCATCATGCTGAGGAAGCAATTCCAGCCTATGAGGTTGGTTAGTGACACTGACCATCTACAGCCTGACCTCTCACAATGAAACTCACCCAAACTGATGACATTGACAACCAGGACACGCAGCTCCAGAGGAACGAACGCGAAGTTGACACCCTGTACAAACGGCCAGACGGCTAAGTTGGCCTTGTACGCAGGGCCGAAGGCGTTCTTCCACTTCTCCACAGGATCAGTACCTTCCATGAGGGCCATGGAGGAGAGGAAGCATGTGAGCTGGATCGGAGCGAAGACGATTTGATCGGCGGCGACACGAGCGGCGGTGGTGGTTGCGACACTCCCGAGGACGACATGGCGCTGGAGGATCCCAAACCACTTCGTAGCGACAGGACCAAAGACGGCTGAAATGGGCACACAGATTAGCATTGGACGGGAACTCGGCGATTTGCAGAACGTACCTCCGCCGTACAGAGCCATGCGACCGGTGCGGGCAAAGTCATGCTTTGCGAGACCTCTGCGGTCCACGGCTTGTTGTGCTAGGGCATCACCGCTGCCAAACAGGACCTATTACGAACGATGAGGAGATAGAAACTTGAGCGGAACAAAACAAACATACTGCACTGGTGATGCTTGCGGTGAGAATGGGCCTCTTGGCCAACTTGGACTGGTACCTGGTTTAGATTTTGAGCCTCGATTCGGGATCTGTAGTAGCAAGGGGCACTTACCAGCGCAACATAATGACAATCAAGTGTAGAGAGGACAGATGCAAGTATAATACAAGGAAAATGCAAATGGGCCAGGCAATTGCAGAACGATGCGCTCGAAGAAACCTTGGAAGTACAAGTAGACGGGGTCTTGAAATTGCGGAGTCGACCTGCAAACCTGCCTGGGCAGCATTGCCAGATTAGGAAGTGCATCCGCCAAGCAACCTCCTTATTCACCCAAGTCCAAATCAATTGTAACTGGCAAACCACTTACTTAAGTATGTATCCCGACGCCCTTTTGACTCTTGATCTGTCAATCGTAGAACTTGCGACATACTCGATAATCTTTCTCCTTCCGAACCTCAGAAGTCTCCTCAAATTTAGGCGCCCTTATCGAAAATATACCATCCAAGCTATCTACACCAAAATTCAAGGGTAATGTGCTCCCCTTCCTAAGTTCTAGCCAAAATTCCGACTACGCGTCAAGCGACTAGAGACTTGAACTCAATAAGGCATGACTAGAAAGCATATTCGACTACCTAAGTACTCCAGCATTGGATCTAAATGATCATTTGTCTAGAGTTGATACTAAACCCATCATGCACAAGCGAACTAGCATGTATAACAATCACCCGCAATTCACCAGTGCTCGTCGAGACTGGAAGACCGCGTCTGAGCCACTTTCCCCTTCTTGCGAAAGGCAGAAACTCACACGTCCAGTTCGGGGAGTTGTGGCCCTATTGGCAGCACTCAGTAGACGATCACCGGGGCATGGAGAAGGCCGTGCAGAAACGGACTTCACCAAGTGGGGCTCCATGTCAGTACTTAAGTGTACATATCCATGAAACTTTACCCATATGTAGAAGAGACTCTGTGAATTAATGGATACAATGCCACATATGGCCCAACGCTCGAGCGGTCAGTAGTATTTCCTGCCTGGTCGAACCGATGACTGGTCTACTCCATGCCGTTGTCCAGGAAGAAGATCATTCCGCGTCGATCTTTCAACAAGATCAATTGATGTCATCGATGCCATTTGCACACCAACCTTAGACTACCACTAAAAAGAGCCATTTAATGATATCAAGTGATAGAACCGAGCACTAGAAACCTGCCCATACGCAAATGAAATGGCAAGAGAGTAACCACAAGCCAAACAGTTGTCATTGGGTCGTTTCAAGCAGGGGTTGACGATGAGACAGCAGCCCCGAGGGGAGGTTCTATATGGTATATACTATTCAGAAACTGACTGTTATTTCCCTTGACCTGCCAATGTCAATTGCAGCAATTGTACCAAAATCTACTCCGCATTTAAGGTTCACTGCTAGCCGAAAGGCGCTGGCATAATCCACATATTCCAATCCTCCTTAAAATGGCATATTACCAGGGCTAGAAAGGTCAGCAATGGTTGATAAAAAAAGATAGTTTCAAATGCAAATTAACGTGAGACGGTGACTCCCTCTACTTAAGTACTAGAAATGTCTGGTCCAGGGCTTGGGCCCACCCATAGACCATGGATAGACCCATTTCTGCCTCAGGTATCAGGGTACACTAACAGGTCACCTGACCGTTGGTAAGCCCTAGGATTTCGGAAAATAGAAAATACCCCACCGAGTTCGGATGTCGGAGGAACCATGTTTCCGGCTTTTTCGCTCGCACACACTCGCCTAATTCTTTCGGGCGACCCGTAAATTTGCAGTACGCCGCGATCCCCGACGACCAACCTCAATTCGACAACCCTCCCCCCCCTCGTCAATACAACATCAAAATGGCTGACGCTGCTCCCCGTGGACGTGGTGGTTTCGGATCGCGCGGCGACCGTGGTGGTGACCGTGGTGGCCGTGGCCGTGGTGCCCGTCGTGGCCGTCGTGGCCCCAAGACCGAAGAGAAGGAATGGCAGCCCGTGACCAAGCTCGGTCGTCTCGTGAAGGCCGGCAAGATCACCTCCATGGAGCAGATCTATCTCCACTCTCTCCCCATCAAGGAGTACCAGATTGTGGACTTCTTCCTCCCCAAGCTCAAGGATGAGGTTATGAAGGTACGGATCGACTTTGAATTACACCGGTTCGCGGCGGGGGATTGAGCGGGATTCGAATGGAAAGCGACATTTGCACTGAGCTGCATTTGCGCCGTTGAAAGCTCCAGCGAAATTGCGCCTTGAAAAAACTCCAGCACCAACAGCCACTAACCTCGTTCGCAACCTACAGATCAAGCCCGTCCAGAAGCAGACCCGTGCCGGTCAGCGTACCCGTTTCAAGGCCATCGTCCTCATCGGTGACTCCGAGGGTCACATCGGTCTCGGTATCAAGACCTCCAAGGAAGTCGCCACTGCCATCCGTGCCGCCATCACCATCGCCAAGCTGGCTGTCCTCCCCGTCCGTCGCGGTTACTGGGGTACCAACCTTGGTGAGCCCCACTCTCTGCCCGTCAAGCAGAGTGGAAAGTGTGGTTCCGTCTCCGTCCGTGTAAGTATCTTGAAACGATCCGATGTGATTTTTTTTGGGTGCGAAGTTCCGGGATCCTAACGATTCGATTTGTATAGCTCATTCCCGCCCCCCGCGGTACCGGCCTTGTTGCCTCCCCCGCTGTCAAGCGTCTGCTCCAGCTTGCCGGTGTCCAGGACGCTTACACCTCCTCTTCCGGTTCCACCAAGACCCTCGAGAACACCCTCAAGGCCACCTTCGTTGCCGTCGTCAACACCTACGGATTCCTCACCCCCAACCTCTGGGCTGAGAACAAGCTCATCCGCTCTCCCCTCGAGGAGTTCGGTGATGTCCTCCGTCAGGGCAAGAAGTACTAGGTTATGGATGATGCATGATATCTTTTCGACAATTCCAATGGGTTTCTTTTAAAAAAAATCTTATCCCTCTCTGCTTGGCGAGTAGAGATGGTTCGTGTGTGAAGAAACACCACATCATTCTGTATCTACGGGAAGGGACACAAAATAGCGAAGTCCACGGGCCATCTACCAGCCAGATTGATTTGCAACTCGTAGGCAGTACCACTGTAGAATCATTCCCCATCGATGAGTCCCAGCCGAGGACTTGGGTGTACCTGTTGATAACAGTTTCCATATGCCAGGAGCTTCCAAGGCTGCCACTTGATAAGCAAACCCCACAGTCCTGAAAACACCACCTAGGGAGAGCCGCGTTAGATTGGACACTTCAACTAGCACTTTCATCAAATGAAAGCTTGTGTATCTAGATTCTGCAGTGCAATCTTCAAGCGTTTGATCTGAAGCTACTATCAAAGGAATATAACCGTTGTGACCCCACTATTGAAAAGTGGGTCCTAGATTTATACATGTAGGTAGTAGTATATATCAATTGAACTACGGAGTATGTAAAGATACCCTATGTTCCAAGGTTGAAACAAATACTAACTCAAAGGCCTTGGTGCAAAGATGGAAAGGGGAAAAAAGGCAAAAGGTATTTATACTTACACATTTTAAAGCGGACTACTACATATATTGGCTAATGATACTCAAACTTAAGTATCTTTTTCCTTCTTCCTTCTCTTTTTCTCTCTTCTTCACCTTGTCTATTAGTTTGCCTGTCAAATTTTACTGTATTACTATCACCTTACTACTGCTTTAATACCGCCTTACTATCGCCTTACTACTGTCTGACTACTGCCTTATTACCACTGCTTCATCAATCAAAATGGAGGATTCTATTTAAGAAGACTATAATAAATTGGAAGTACTCTCCTATGGGCTATGACTTCTGGATAGATGCATACAAGTGATACACCAAAAAGCCAAAAGAGAATAAGCAAAAAGAGGAGGAAGAGAAGCAAGCAAACGGTATGTATTGATTCGACTAATGGAGATTAGCCCTAAGCCGCAACGGGCGATCCTCGGTGCCCCGAGAAATCGGCATCGGTCCGGCAGAACAGAAGGTCAAGCGTGCGAATGCAGAAGGCGACGAGGAATGGCAAGTCTCTCCAAGCTCTAAAGGAGCTCTTTCTTCTCTCTCGTCCCCCAATCTCACCCAAGTCTCCCGGAACTCACCTTCCTTCCATATTCCACCCTGACCTGGCCCATCTAAAGCTCCCTTCCTTACTCAACACACTCCCAAGCCATCTCTCTCCAACGCTTCTAATTTCCTAGCATCTCTCATCCAACTGGTAACCGTACGCCCCCCCCCCCCCCCCCCCCCCCCCCCCCTCCCCCCCCCCCCCCCCCCCCCCCCCCCCACCCCACCCCCCCCCCCCCCCCTCCCCCCTACCTCCTCGCCCCCCCCCCCTACCTGCTTCTTGTTTCCTAACCCCGCTCCCCCGTGTGATCCCCCCCCCCCCCCCCCCCCCCCCCCAATTCTAGCCTCTCCTGGCGGCCCCCGTCTGGTTTTCATAGCTGTGCGCGTTGCTCCGAGATTGGACATGACGCCTGCTCGCCCAAAGATCCCAGGTGGTCTCCAGGAAGCTCCGATGAGCCCAGCCACCCCGATGGATGATCACCAGGCGAGTGATCGGGTGCAGATCCACGAGACAGCTGGCATAACCTCTGCTCAATCGAAAACAACCGAGGGATCACCAACTGGATCTTATTCCCTGGCTACTTCCGTCTCTGACAACAGGCCCCGTGGCCCTGTTCTGTCTATTGAGAAAGCTAATACGAGACCATATCCCGCTCAACCAACAACACCCCACAGAACACAGACCGAACCTACCTTTCTGGCTTCTTCTATTACTTACAATCGGAATCCTGGCCCTCCACGGGAAGTCGAAATGAAGCCATCAACCCCGTCGACCCTACGGACGGCCGAAATGCCCCATGCTACACCGTCCCCGGTGAGTGGATCCTCGCAGGCCATTGGAAGTCCTTTCGCCCGTGAATCTAGCGGAAGCTCGACCCCTATGTTGAGCCCAGAAATACCTAACTTTTCTCGTCCATTCCGAACTTCAACCAGTAGACCCTCACCTGCCCTAGGGAGCCCTTTTGCACATGATCCTCTCGGTGCACCATTCCCATCGACCCTGGGGCCACAAGTCTCTCGGACATCCACGCCTCCCTTGAGGGGCGCCAATGACCTCAGAAATGCCTTCTCTCCTGGTCCCACCGGAAATTTACCTTCTCTGTCGACACTAAAGACGTCCGATGAGCGTGAGTTTTCAGTCCCCGGGGACGGCTCCCCTGTCTCCCGGAAAAGCCGTGCGAGTGGCTTCAGACAGAACCTTTCCCGTATTTTGAGCAGGGATTAATTGGCATCCTCGCTCCCAATGAAGCAGTCCCGTCCATCGAGGTTGAATTCTCTGATTATTGTAAGAGGGATGAGAAATGGCTCCCTTGGAATTTATTGACATGTAAATTGCAAATTGGAAATGAGTAGTATGTAGAATCATGAACTAATCCAAGAGCGTAGTTTTCTGAGATCCATGGATACCGACTCGGATTAGTGACATTAAAGTGAACCGAAGAGATAATGTGTGAGTGCTCTATGACTACTAAATGAGAATGGAATAGTAAAGAACTTCGAGGGGAAAGCATGTGCCTCATGTCTCCCAATTAATAGAAATCTCAAAAAAAAAAAAAAAAAAAAAAAAAAAACAAGTGGATAGGGATAAAACAAAAAAAAAAAAAAAAAAAAAACAAAAACACCAAAAGGCAAGGAAAAAAAATAAAAAAAAAAACAAAAAAAAAAAAAAAAAAAAAAAAAAAAAAAAAAAAAAAAAAAAAAGACTAGTTGATTGAGTTCATACATAAGATACAAGTAAAAGCAAACCAAAGCCAGCAAGGACAGTTGATTAAGCTCGAGCATGATCACATGTGTAGAGTGGAGAAAGGCCAAGATGCGCCATGGCAGCATGGAGAACAGTCCAGATATCCAGAAGAGAATAGAGGGCAGAGGTGAAAGATTAAACAGCCCAAGAAGATGATAACCTTGAAACTTGCAGACATACTGCGCAAGGTCAACCCGTAGATGGTCATTCACTTTACGCACCCTCCTCGTCAGCAATGCGAATGGTGCCTTCATTTCCGACTCCGTGTGACCAGAATCCATCAAGATAGAGAGAACTATAGCCGTTAGAACCTAACATCCAAATGACACGTTTCATACTCACATTCCGGCAGAGCTATCATGGGCCAAGAGGAGGAAGTATCCCAAGATACCCTGGGTGAAGATATCCTGCACGGCAAAGAGGATGGTCTCGGTGTCAACGGTCAACTTGAGAGCCAGCGCACCGGCGGCGATCGAACTAAATGATCAGCTTCAATCCTTCATTGATGTTCAGATAGGACCTACATAGGGAAAAGGGCCAACGCAACAATCGCGGAGCTAGCAACGGCACTGAAGAACTTCCTAGTTTGAGCGTCCTTGTTGTTGACAGCACGATGGGCGTGGAATCCGGCATGGTGCACAACCACCAAGTATGAGATGCACGAAAGTGTCAGCCAGGCCCAGCGCTCTTGGCCATGGCCGGCGAATGAGCCGAGTAGGCCAGTGGCCAACATGGTCAGGTTGGCGACGATGGCAATGAGCAGATTCGCACCGGGGAGACCCGAGATGAGGGCAAAGTTGACGAACAGCAAAGGGGTGGTCAATGCCCAGTTGAGGTATCGAAGCCACAGCAATTGACGAGTATAGTCGGTGTGGGTGTCGGGGACATGCTTGTGGGATTCGTGAATCCGCACATGCTTAGTGGTAATTCCTTGACCAGTTGCAAGAGCCAGGTACGTAATGAAGGAGATCGTTGTGATGAGCGAGGTGAGGACGTGGATGATCCGTTTTGGCTACAAAAGGGTGTTAGTGGCGATCCGTCGATCATGGGGAAATCCGGGGTATCCGATACCAGTGGGGCCCGCGCAGCCAGAGAATAGAAGACAAGCGAGGAAATCCCCATCAACACCGCAACGACCCTATGCTAATTAGAACTCATCTTAGAAAAGGACAGCAATCGAAACATACCACAGGGTCCGTTTGCCGACGTCATGGAGCCCCTGGAAGACCTCGGAGCCTGGGAGCACGGTCGGGATAGGTCCGACGGAGGAGGTCGTGGCGGGAGCTGTAGCTGTCAGAGACGGGAAGAACTCAGGGTCAATCATGTTGAAGGATTAGCAGTGGAAGTATTGATAAGAGAAGGAGAGTAAAGGTGTGAAAAGGAGAGTAAAAGAGCAGAAGGGCTGCAATATATGGGGGGCGTCATCGATTGTCGTCATCACCGATACCTGTTTTTTCTAAGGCATCACTTTTTGACATTGCCACTTTCTAGGCTTATGACTATTGATTACTTGTATTGAGCAAGTTACACTGGAATCGATGTGTTACATCGATGTGTCTATGGTATTTATTACAATGTGGGATGGTCCTATGGTACATGCGGGAGAGGGTATAGTCTGGATTTAATGCAGTTCATGCGCATGCACGACTGTCTCACATCGGTCGCAGATGGCGTTCTTCGTTGCCACCGGGAGAGCGTACCGCCAGCATCGGGGGCACTTGGAGGCCTGGGGTGCATACACGTGCACCTGGGCCTGGCCACCAAGCTCAAAGGTTTCGGAGTACTGCCACTCCGCCGCAGCAATCTCAGGGGGAACAGGATCTGTTGGAGAGGCGAGAGTAATCGAAGACACAACAAAGAGGTCGGGTAATTCTGGCAGGTATTGTTGGAAGGTGTTGGTGGGCAGAACAAGGTGCACAAAAGATTGCAGAGATGAGCCCAGTTGCTTCTTACTGCGCGCTTGCTCCTGCAAGTTCTTGATCGCGGAGTGAACCACGGTCAGCTCCTGGTAGCTGCTGTCCAGATAGGCATCCTGCCATTCCGGTGCGGGGGCGGAGAAGATGCGCTGCAAGGGATGCTCGCTAAGAGAGCGGAGGGTGTCCGGGGTGTGTTCCCAGGTCTCTTCCACAAGCATCGGAGTGATGGGACCCAGCACTTCCTGAAGGTGACCGAAAATATAGAAGAGGGTGGTCTGCGCGGCGCGGCGGCTGGTGCTGTTTTCACCCAGAGTGTACAGTCGGTCTTTAATAGCTTCCATGTAAAAAGCGGAAAACTCGAGGTTGGCCCACCGGTTCATCGTGCTCACGGCTTTGTAGAACTCGAAGTTATCACATGCCTTTTGGGACGTCAGCACCATATCGGAGAGATGCTTCAAGGCGATTCGATCCACAAGCTGCAGCTTTTCGTACGGCACAATGTGATCTGGGTGGAAATCGGCGAGGGCGCCCAGTAGCAATTTGAAAGTGACACGGAATTTGTGGAGACTGGTATTGACGGTCTGGAGTACCTGTTTACCAATAACCACGTCGCGCGTGTAGTCGCTGCTCGCTGCCCACATGCGGAGAGCGTCGGGGCCAAGCGCATCATACACAGGCTCCGGGTTCTCGGGTGCTTTCTTCCCCTTGACCTTGCGGGGTTTGAGAGGAGGCAGTAAAGTCCCGTCCATGATAGTCTGCGGGTGAATGGTATTGCCGATGGACTTGCTCATTTTCCGCCCCTCCTCGTCCAAGGTGAACCCATGGGTGATCAAATTCTTGAAGGGTGCACGAAGTGTGGAGGTTTGACCCGATGCAAGCTGGTGAGAAATGTGCGTGAGAAGTCCGGATTGGAACCAACCACGGTGCTGATCGGTACCCTCAAGATACACGTCGGCTAGGTGACTACGTCCTTCGATGGGGATATCGATCTCGGCCCAACTTGTACCACTGTCAAACCAAACATCCATCGTGTCAGTTCCACGTCGGTACCCCGTCCCAGGTTCGTTTCGCAAGGACAGAGGAATCCACGCGACATCATCTGGACTGTCGGTCCACCAGGCATCAATGCCTCGCTCCTCAATGGTAGTCATGATGTGTGAGACACTGTCCTTGGTGAGGACAGCCTCACCAGTAGTCCGATGGTAAATTGCAGGAATTGGAACACCCCAAGCGCGCTGTCGTGAGATGCACCATTCACTGCGATTCTTGACGAAATTTTCCAGTCGTTGCTTTCCAGCCTCGGGAACGAATCGCACATCTTCCAATGCTCGAAGCGCGGGGCCACGAATATCGGCCACATCGGCGAACCACTGCTCAGTGGCCCGGATGATGATTGGAAGCTTGGACCGCCAGTCGTAGGGGTACTTGTGCTCATACTTGTGCTGAGCAAGCAATCGATCACACGACTCAGCCCACTGCAAGACTGCAGTGTTACCTTCTCCCAAGACAGGCTTCCCGGTGAGTCTGGTGGGGTCAAGGGGCATGGCTTTATCGGTGAATTCGCCCTTGTCATTGACTGGAGCAAACACGGGGATGCCGCGTGAAAGACACGCTTCGTAATCGTCCATACCATGACCAGGCGCGCAGTGAACCATACCAGAGCCAGAATCTGCAGTGACAAAGTCAGCCGCAATGATGGGCTGGGGTTCACCGTCGGGTCCCTTGAAGAGAGGTCGATACGTCGTCTTCTCTGCTAGTTCAGAGCCCATGACAGAGGGAACGATGACAGACAGTTCCTCCTTGAGCATGTTTTGGAGATACTCAAATCGGGACTGAGCGATAAGTAGATGGCCATGTTTTTCCGAGTGTACAATGGTGTATTCCAAGTCCTCATGAACCGCGATGGCAGCGTTGGCAGGTAGGGTCCAGGGCGTCGTAGTCCAAATCACAGCGCTCAACGTCTTCCCGCAAAGAAGGGGATTTTCGGAGATGTGTTTCGGGATATCAACAAGAGGGAACGCGATTAATGCAGCAGTCGAGACGTGGTCATCCTTATATTCCAATTCCGCTTCCGCGAGAGCCGTACCCGTTGAAGGCGACCAGTAAACAGGCTTGAATTTCCTGTAGATCAGACCACGATCAACCATTTCCCGAAAGACACTCAACTGCCGCATCTCAAACTGCCTGTCCATTGTTTTCCAGTGGTTCTCCCAATCGGCCATGACCGCGAAACCTCGGAATCCTTTCATTTGCTCCTTCACAGTCTGTCGCGCGAGCTGCCGGGCTGATTTACGGATCACTGCCGGACTGACTGATTCATTCTCAATGTCCAGACCGCGTAGGTTTTGCAGTGCCTTGAGCTCTATGGGCAGTCCATGACAGTCCCAGCCGGGTACGTAGCGTACCCTCTTACCTCTGCCCAATTGGACGCGACAAATTATATCCTTCAAAATCTTGTTCAGAGCGTGACCGATGTGCAGCTCGCCGTTCGCGTACGGCGGACCATCGTGCAGGACAAATGGTTGGTTTGCTGGCCGTTCTCGCTGTTGCCAGGCGTAGAGATCATCGGTGCATCGTTTGAGGTATTTCGTCCGGTCGACGGCTGAGACTCGCGGGGGGAATGTCGATTTAGGAAGTTTCAAGGTCGACGTCCAGGAGCGCGGGATTGACCGCGCCAGTTCCGGCATTGTCCATCTCTTGGGTAGTCGAAGTTATCGGAGGGAAATGATACTGCACGTTAGCTTCTCACCGCCCAAGCAACTTGAAACACAACGCGAAGACATGCCTACACCTATCAACTGGTTTTTTTTTTTTTTTTTTTTTTTTTTTTTTTTTATGTTTTTTTTTTTTTTTTTTTTTTTTTTTTTTTTTTTTTGTTTTTTTTTTTTTTTTTTTTTTTTTTTTTTTTTTTTTTT